TTGATTGGGCGATCGGCCAATAAAATCACGAGATGATCATCAAAATCTAACCAATTACAATGAAAGTTCGCTATGCTGGCTCTTGTCCAAAAAGTATTTCGTAAAGGCGAATACGCACTGGTGAGTCTATTGGAATTATGTCAAAACATCGACGAAAGAAAGAACATTGTAATGTATTGTTTCGTTCTGTAGCTGACATATCAAAAAGTTTCATAACACTGTCAATAAATTCTTGAGAAAGAATATTTATCGGATCAGGTTCCTGTTACTAATGGTATCGATTATATCCGAAATATTGATTGATTGATTTGAGACCAGATCATTACATATACGTAAAAATTGAAGAATTTTGGATTCTAAAGAGTTCTCAATATTGGCACATAATGATAAAACATTAATGACTTGTCGTTGCCATTCATCTAAATAATTTGCAATAATTAATTCATCTACAGCTTCATCTTGCAATACCGTAATCTTTCCAAGCATCAATTTAGCTATCTCGTTTATAACATAATCTCCAAAGTGATCACCTTCAGCTAAATTAGATTCAAGTTCTGTGATCGAAGAACACATTCGAGCTAATTCTAGTCCAGCGATAATAGAATCGGAGTTATCCCACCAAAATATGTGCAATTTAACGGGATCATTTATTATTTCATTGTTACATAAACGACGGAAAATAAATTCTAGTAGTTTCACATCAGATTCATTCACATGTCCCGTATTAGCAGAGCAAGTTTTTATAAAATCTTCAAAGTATAAATGTCTAGCAAATTGTAATATTTCTGATATCAACGTTGTGATCATATTTTGAATATTTGTTGAAAATTTTTCAACAAATTGTTCCATTACTTCTGGATACAAATTATCATCATTATCCAAATTTTCAGGTTGTTCATACAAACTTTCTAGTCCTTCTTGATAAAGTCTTTTATATTGATCAATTTGTTCCATGAAATAATATGAAAAAGGGAATTGAAGATCCAAATAATATCCCGGGATGTTATAAAGATTTGGTTCAGGATCTGTAAGTGCTTCATCAATGTTTACAATCTTCTTGTTTTCAAATATTTGCATCCAAAACTTAAATAAATCATCCTCATCATCCCATGAAAAAAATGGCGTTATTGCATAATATTTGTCTAGAATATAAAGTAATTTAGCAATAGGCTTTCGAACCAGTAATCGTATATATGTCTCAAGGGCCACGTAAAAAGAAGGATATAATGACAAAAATTTTTTATCTAGTGCGATACTTAATTGCCATTTATCTGATGAATCGACCTGCAACCATTCTTCCGTTCGTATTTTTAAACAGTTAATGAGCTTCTTGCATTTTGGAATTTCGTCTAGTAATTTTCTAGAATAATAATCATTATTATTTGAAATTAACCAAGTTGAAATTATATATAAATATATGTATATATAGCTAAACTAACCTTATATGTTCTATGGATTTTTTTGATGTAGGATGTTTCATACAAAGTAAACACCAACGTAACTCTTGATTTAAGATTTGTTCAAATGAAAGCTTTCCATTAAGTATTTTACCAATTGTTGAGTTAAGAAAGAATGAAAGCGGTTTTTCTGGCGCAATTAAGCTTTCAATGGTAATCTGAGTCCAACCACACATAAAATTAAATATATTTGTATTTTCCTCACTAGATTGTCGATTAAAATGAAGAATAATGCATGCGCGTTTAACTAATTTGTTGATATTCTGCCGACTTTCTCTGTCTAAAAATTTATTTCGATGCTGTTCGATTATAAACTTTGCCAATCTAATGCATCCTGCATTTGTAGACAAAGAATCACATTGCAAGATATACATATCTTGATCGGACTCATAAAAACGCTTAACTCGGTTTTGAAGCTCGGCTTCGGACTTAAAAGTTGAAAGTTTATCAATTTGACAATTCAGATTAATTTCCCTCAAACATAACATTACATCAATATTGATATTAGAAAAAGTATTTATGATCACTAGATCGTTCTCTAAACAATCATTTAATGATTGGTAAAAATCCTGGATGCTGTCATGTTGTCGATTTTGGAAATAGAAACTTTGATTTTTCTACTTCCTGAGCATCACTTGATTTCAGGAATGATTTGTCAGCTCTTATAATTCCATCCAAGGTGGCAGTTGAAATCATGGCTTCCTTGCAAGAACAAATGATCATGTCGTCATCATAATCTTTATTTCTTTCGCATTGATCCACAACTAAACTTTGTAGCGTTTCCTCTGACAATAAACATATCCTTTTCACTGAAATGATACTTTGTATCATTATCGCTTGTTTTAAAAATGGTAGAAATTTGATTTGTCCAAGATTTTAGACTCGTACAAAGCTTTTTGATAGAGTTTCTTCAAGTGTAAGCTTTTGTTTTTCGAAACGGTTTAGAAGAGGTGGATCAGCGTATGGTAATTTTGCTTCATCCAGCACCAAAATACATCTAAAAATACGCTTTTAAATTAATAAAGTCAAGTCTGCATTT